CTGTTAGGAATACAACTTTAGAAGGGATGACTGTCACTCCAGGCCAGGGGTGCTCAGAAAGGCTCAAACAAGTGACCACACAAATACTGCACTCAGTTTAGTTCTGCACTTACTGAGGGGGGCCGGCTCTTGCTGTGCTGAGAGCTGAAATACTCATTTAATCCTTAAGCACATCAACAATTCTATTAAATTCAGCAAAATCACTCATATTCCTGGCTCTAGATGCATGCTCCCCTTTACAACTATAGTCCCTGGTTCCTCATGGAGAAGTGTTGATTGTAAACAGCACTAGGATGCATTATAGCCTGAAGGCTGAACAATCTCAAACTCATCCGGTCCCATTTATTAGGTAAGCCAGGCCTGGCTATTCCAGTATTATTTCTCTCAAGGGAACAGCTAAAGAGTTGAATATATAATAACATCCTACAGCCTGAAAGAACTTAGGCATTTTAATTTTATCTGCAGCAGTGTTTCTGACATATCTGTAATTACCGTAAGCTGGTCTTTAGTTTTAATTTCTACTGGTGCGGGATTCAGTCACTGTAATGCAAGACAGACATTGCTTCCAGGAAAGCCTCAACCTGACGTACAACGTTTTAATTCCGCACATCTCCCAGTGGAGGAGTTCTTCCTGCTTTGGTGAGGAAGCCAGGATCTATGGGGAAATTATTTCATGCACATGAGATGTAAGAAGGCCAAAAGGGATGAACAATCAAGTGCAGCAGAGCAAAAATGCCAGCTAGAAAGTTTGCTGCCTGCGCCGTGTCAGTGCAAGCAGCAGCACGTGAGTACATGAACTTGGGATGCAGAGGTCTGACTGTGCAGAAAGCCCAGGAAAATACTGAAATACACTGATTTCTGTTCCAGCAGTTATTAATTTTGAGTGATCACAGATTTTCTTCACTGCAGGAAATTCCTTATCAGCATATTAACTTAGATAACAGTATTAACTGAACATTTACAATGGTTACCATACGTGAATAGACACATTAAATGTGCAAGTTGAAGATACGTGCTTTACTAATCATACCTTACTAAATTTATACCAAGTCTAAAAGCTTGACATTCTGCCTATCAAGCTTACAGCTCATCATTACTTAGCATTAATGCTAATGTGTGTGCACACATGTGCTCACGTGCATATAAAGGAACAGATAGATATTCATCTCTTGACATCAGAGAAGGAAGAATTCTTAGTTTGCAAAGCAATCTTCACCATCATTGTAAACAGTATCTTGTTATATATTAAAATCTAGTTAAAACAAAGAGCAAAAGCATATATGAACACACTAAAACTTAAGGATTCATTTAGCTGAAATGGTCAGTTGAACTCTTTTTTTTTTTGCATGCAAGAGCGTCATGTTTCTGCAAAGAAACAAGTTCTTAGTATTAGACATGATAAATCTCATTACAATTTATAATATATACTAATCACCATCGATTACAAATGCCATAATTTTTCCTGAAGAAATTATGGTAAAGATGGCAGTATTCTTCCCTTTGTGTGGAAATACAGTTTCTGAAAAACTCATATATGTTTCTGAAATTTACTCATATGATCATGCTTAAACAATTTTAATACAATGGGGAATATTGCTGCTGACCATCTCATGTAGTCAGCTTTTTGAACTTCACTCTTGCTACTATTATTTTAGAGTAGAAGGACTCTGTTTTCTTTGCAAGTCCAGAACTATACAGCGTGTTAAGCTTTGCAACATGCTACTTTATCTATAAACAAATCTTTAGGATGAGAACAGCAATCATTCTGCTGAGGACAAAATGAATATTCACAGCTTAAAATCACTTCAAAAATCAACTTTTATTTTAAGCATGATTTTTTTAAAATAGAAATTAATTTTTTTCATGAGTTTTCATTAGTTCCCAGATGTGATTTTTTTTTTTTTTTCTTTTTAAACCTAGATGATTTTTTTCAGATCTTTTTTTTCAGGGCAAATTCTTTTCTATGTTAATAATACTAATATATTAATAATAAATACTGTGGGACATGAGTTATTTTCAAAAACCAGCAGGATATAGTTCCTTTTTCGGCTTTCTCGAGCAGTTAAATTGATGAAACAGAAAACTACTCTAATGGGAAACGTTGCTGCTTCATGAGAACAGGCAATCCTCTTGCTCTGCCTCAAAAATAGTTGAGGGTAACTACACAGAGCCTTTTCACAGGAGCTATTCTGTTCTGAGAATTTCTCCCTTAACCTGGGAAAAACCCCAAGACACTTTTTAAGTGTAGTTGGTTCAACGCCGACTGAACATACCTGACCTCAGACCTAGTCCCGCTGCCTTGAATGCCATCTGAATTATTTTAGTAAGATTGCATGATCAAGAATATAAATTGTCAGTGGAAACTGAAGACCATGTAAATGAGTAGTGGTAAAAAAAAGCTAAAAATAAATTAAAAGTCCACCCAAATGTAGCTGTCATCCTGCTGCACAGGGGATTATTGTCTTGTTGAACTAGAGATCGCATTTGTTCTGTGCTTTGACCATTTTACCTCCATTATGTTGCCAAATAAATTCACCTCACAGTTCAAAAACTATTTTAAGCAACCACTCTCCTCAAAGTAAATTATATCCTCTCATTTCTGGTTCATACATTAATAATATACTTTATTTAAAAGTTTCTGTTTTGAAGGGGAATAGTTTCTAACTGAAATTCACTTTACTATGTTTCCATAATGGTCTGAGAAACAATCAATATAACATTTCCTCAAGGAAAACAAACTTTCCAATCTTGATGTTCTAGGGAAACAGAAACTTGTACACTCACTTATAGATATTTATTTTCTTTAGTAAAGACCACAAAAATATCATTAAGCTGCTCAGAAAAGGAAGTGGTATGATATAAAGACTTAATTTTGTTCAAATATGTTGCTATATTGACATGTAATTCACTGTTACTGAAATACTTCTGCAAGAGATGTTAACGTTAAAGATGAAATGTGGAAAATTACTTACAATTAGGTTCATTTTTGTCTGCGCAGTCCCAGAGGGTTTGCTTACAAACAATAATACATCTAGCACAATGACAAGCATAGATGAGATCATTTTACCGACAATAATTTGGTTCTCAACACATGGTCCATTGCAATGATATCCTAGGCTTATTATTGTTTTATTCAGGTAATTGTTAGCTCAAAATGCAAATAAACCTTTTTCATGGGAAAACAACAGATTCTCAATAAATGTAAAGATAATCCACTCTCAGAGATAAATCTGTGATAAAACTGTAGCAACAAACAGTATTTTTAGAAGCCTACCTCAGCTCACATGCACACTTGCAGTCACACACATTTCTATAGCGGATGACAAATAGCCCATATTCTTTATTTAAAAGGTCATATTGATTTTTGAAACAGTTATAGTTAAGTAGCTACATTAAGAAAGCATGCATCTTAATTACAACTGACTCAAATGTGCAATACTTCTTAATGATGGTAAATAAATCAATCAGCATAAATTAGCAATGACAGAGGCTCAGAACCCAAGATGTACTTGATACTTTCAGCCTGTAAGTGGATAATAGAAAATTGTTAGAATGTAATGTCCGTTAACTGGAAGTTACCTTCCATACGGGTACAATATCTCAATAACATAATCATGCTTATTGCTAGGAGGAAATTGTCCCCTCTCTTGTTGGGCTCCAGTGAGACTTAACTTGATGTACTTTTTCCTAATTCAATTCAAATTAGGATTGATACATGTCTCTCTGTTTTATTATATGAATAGGACAGGGAGTGATCAATTTTAAAAACAAATTAGCAAAGTATGACTGAAATAGTTACTCTCATGCTAGCTATGATAAAAAAATATTAAAAGAATTATCTGAATTAAAGAAGGCAGGAAAAAAGATATGGTCAGATATGAAATTAAAATGAAAAGCTATGATCGGAAGAAAGGTTACGTTAAAATCATGTTCCAATGAAGCTACCAAAATTTCATGAAAATGATTCAGATTTATGTAATTAACATCCATACCCAGTCATTCCTGTTGGTAAAACAACTTAAGCGGGTACAGTACCATAAATCAGAAGCCTAGTGAGAAAGCAATTGTTCAGGGCTTTCTATATTTGACCTAATATTAGAATCTTTTTCCACTTCTCTATTTCTAAAATACTCTATTACTAAAATACAAGCTTGATAAGATAAAAACGATACAGAAGGGCTCTTTTTCCTCCAGCAACACCTTTCTAGCCTGCATGGCAGCGATCCATAGCAGATACACAGACTCGGTTCCAGCTGTACTTACACAACCCAGAACAACTTCCAGTACTTCAGATCGTTTCCATAACCAGTTTCCCAGCTTCGTGACATCAGAAGACCTTAAGCCAAATTTTCTGAGGCCAATAAGCTATACTGAGGACCCAGCCAGATCAGCACCACTAACCTGCTGACTGCCTGCACCGTTTAAATTATTCCTCAAGACAACAGAATTACAGCATAGAAAGAAAAAGTACAGATCCCTCAAACACTTGTTATTTGTGTCAGGCTCTGCTCTAAGCCGGCCAGAATAAACCAATTCAACAGCTTTGAATAAACAGGTATCAAAAGAGAAAGGCAACATGAGGCAAAACTCAGGTGTAATGACCTGATAGCAGCAGTTTCCTGTGTCCTTCGTGCGCGCAGCCCCTTTGGCATGGCAGGGATCTCTGTCAGGAAAGCTGCAGACACCTGCACCCTTTATGCTGCCTACACATAATTTATTGCTTCCTACACGTGGTTTTATGGGCTCGGGCAGTACCTGGTGGCACTTCCTAGCAGTGCCCCCATCACAGCCCTTCAGCTGGGGCATGGCGAGGGGCAGCTCCATAGCGGGGTCCTGCCCATGAGGAGGGTCAGGGCTGACCACAGCCCACGGCAGCTGGTTTGCAGGCTGGGCTCAAGGGGCCAGGAATGGGACTGGCACCTCAGAGCACCACAGCTTGCTAGGCCAGGAGAGAGGTCCCAGGTTGGCTGGGACTCCCAACTTGGGGCCAGTACAGCCCCTTAGCACCCACCAGACCCTGGTGTTTGCCACATTAACAACACACAGGGAGCCAACACAGTCCTCACTTCTCCTTGCAAGTAGGTCGTCATGCCAGGTGAGCAGTCTAGCTCACTCATGAGCAAGGCCTGGCTGTTACCAGCCCTGGCTGTGCTCCTGGGATGTGCCCTTGCTCCACACACTCTCCACTCCCACCTGGACCTTCTGGCTTGGTGGGCAGTGCAGCCTCCTGCTCCCAGCGGCTGGGCCACCTCACGCAGCCGACACGGGCTGGCAGGGAGAAGGGAGGATCCCGGCGCCATTCCCAAGGAGCCCAGGCAACTGGGCCCTGTGGTGAGGAGGGCCCCTGGCCAGGAGCTGGGGGCAGTGCAGGACATGCTACCCAGGACATCAAACACAGTGTCCCTCTGGCCATCCCACCATGCTTCCTTGGAACACAACCCCGACACAGGCTTCCCAAATTGCTGCGGAGAGACAGGATTCGGGAGCTTCCCATGATCCTGGCATCGCAGGCACTTGAACAGAGTCTGGCACGCTGCCTTCCTGTCATAAAGAAACAAATCTCTGTTAATACACCTGTAAGCTTTACTAAGTAAATTCTGATTTCAACATATTCATATTGCATGCCATTTTTTTTTTTTTTTCAGAAATATCTAATATTTGGGCAAAAGTGTGTTGAGATTTTTTCCCCCCCTCATCAGAATTTCTTAGATGGATTGCAGAAGCCAATTGCCAACTGGTAAGACAGAAAATATGTGGCAAGTCAGCCTTAATTATCAATAACTCTGATCTTGGATCCTCTCAGACTTCCTTAAAGTAGCAGGATCAAAGCAAGAAAGAGATATACAAATGAGAAAATGGCTACATATCAGCTTCTATTTCTTACCATGTTTTCAACACTTCGAATTACTCTTTCCAATGATAAACTCTTTCTTAGCTTTATACACATAATTCTTTTGAAGCTGCTGCAGTCTCATGGCATTTAATGATAATTCTGATTCAAGAAAATGATCTAGAAAGTGATAATGTGTTCATGATAGGGAAGCAATTGCAAGAACAAATAAAATCAGAAGTCAATACTAAGGGTATGAGAGTAAAGAAAACAAACAATTATGCATGAACTTCCAATGCTTGGAGTCAACTACTGTATACCTCACTAGAGTATTAAGCACTAATCAATAAAACAATGATATTATATAGCTGAATATATTAGCTGTTGGGAGATTCCTGCAATTATTTTCTAGCCAAGACAAAAACCTCAATGAGTATTTTGTGAGAACAAATGTTCTTCCTTAATTTCAGATGAAACAGATAGGGTTATGCTTCAGAACTGTAACTTACATGATTTCCTTACATGTATATAATAAAATGAGTTCATTGGCCATGTAGAGTAAAAGGGATAATATTTTTCAACCTTAAAATATATCAAGAGTATGTATCCATCTTTTTAATTTGAAGGGCCACTCAAACTAAAAACAGAGAGTACTAGAAGTAGAAGAAAGCATCAACTACACTAGAAAGTTATGAACAAATAAATTATTAGCTAAGTTGTACTTTTTCATCTTTTCTTATTTGGTTGTTTTCTTGTTTGTCTGCCTATGAGTGTAATCATGTAGTTTGCTCAACACGAAGGGAATTGATTTTCATTCCCTTTCCTGAAGTCCTATAGATCACAAAATGGATAAAATTGTAAAGGAAGGAAAAAAGTTTTAATTCTTAAGACTCCTAAGTACTAGTACTTGGTCAAGTGATAAAAATTCAAATAATTGAGCTTTCCAAAAATACATGCATTATGCTATAGGCCAGCTAGCCTCTTGTTGGTATGAACAAAAGCAAGTGACCTAAGACTGAACCTAAAGCAGAACAGGTAATGAGATGAACAGCTTCACTGAATAATTCAAGTCACCTTCCACAAGGCAGAAGGTGTAAAGGAAATAAATTTGAGCCAAGGAGGGGAAAGTAGAGGAAGATCAGTTGCTGAAGATCACTAGCTGCAAAGATTAACGGGAAAAACATGTTGCATGGGATCAGAAAGGAGTGCCATGGAGTGAAAGCACCTCTGCCCCATAGCTGGCGAGCAGCACACTACTGCTTTGTTTGGAACAAATTCAAGTCTTCTATTTTTTTTTTTTTTTTTTTTTTAATTTTTACCAAACATACTATTTGATTTTAAACCCCTGAATTCCATGTCACAGGGGACCGTCTAATGAAGCCCAAGTGGCAGGTTTTGACTGGCTGGAGCTTCTTGCAAGACAGGCAGATGGGCAATGCTCTTTCAATACTGCAAGATTATAACCAAAATAAGCAGGATTTGCTTTCACCCTCCCCCACCCTTTATTTTTATTTATTTATTTTTTTAAATCTGAGATGAATTGGATGTGGAATGGAAAGCAATTAGGATTAAAATCTAAACATCATGTATCATTTTGTAGATGAAAAGCTGATACAAATTCTTCTACTGCTCCCCCCTTTCAGGCACTTCATTCAGATTATGAGAAATTTCTGTTCATTCGTATTCCTTAAAGTACCCATGATCAACCAATTTTTGCACTGATTAAATGTGTTTATTTTAAAGGTCTTTTCCTGCACCATCTAACATGAACACTACTATTAAGTAGTTTTAAAGGGCATTGGGAGAAGTAGAATTTGTCTGATAGATCTCACAGCCATGATGGACAATGTCAACTTTGTCTACCCTTTTAAGACAAACCAATATTCTCCATTTTAAGAGTGTCTTTACAAATTTAAGCAAAGGCAGGCAAGTTGTTTAAGGTTCCCATCTTCCTGACTTTTGTTTTTTTAAAACCAAGAGTAATCCTATCAAACATAAATGTGATTTTGGACTTTGATTGACCAAAAATAAAGCGTGTAGGAATAGCCTCAGAAGAGTGATAATATGGAAGAGGGTGTTTAACTGTTTTTTGAGTTTTATCTTGTTGCTTACTTTTATGCAATATTATGTAGATTCCATTGAAAAAAAGCACACAAGCCTGAAAAACAAGATGCTTGCATAAAAATATACATATAGGCCATTAACAGTATTTGTGAGCTGCACGTTCTTTTAAAATATCTAGGCTAGACTTCCAGTCAATAAAAGGGTTAACAAATTACGTTATTCCTAAGAAAATTCGAAGAATGCTCACTGCATATTTCAATCATGTTATTACTTCATATACATTAAATAAGAAATGATTGTTCCCTTAACTTTTTTTTTCTTATTGATTTCAGAGAAATGAAAGAAGTCATTTTCAGGCGTCTGATATTTGAATACCATCTGAAGATATTGGTGGGTAATGAATGTGTCCGTGCAGGATGATACAAGGCTGCCTTAGCTACAAAATAAATTCTTTTATTTCTTAGAAATTCCTAGAGTCCTGAATATATTTTATTGCATCATAAATATGCATAGACTCACATTTTCTTGCAATTTCGGATATCTAACCAGTATCTCGTATTTTCTATAATTAATTTTATACATAACTATATTTTAGATATAAAGTCTACTGTGAAACTGTATAAGACTTGAATCCAAGTGGAACAGAGAAAAGAATAAAATGCTTAGGCTTAAAATAGTAAATGTGATTATTTAAAACTCTTTCTCAAGTTATTGTTCCTAGCAAGTCTTGTAGATGAGCACTTGGTAAGTCTGGCAAAGGCAGTAAAAATAGATTAACCTGGCCTCAGGCCTTTCAGGATGAACACTAAACTCTAACCTAGGTCATTCTAGATTCCATCTAGAAGGCATTTCGTGGAGGAAAAAGAATGTTCTTCTCACAAGCTCCCATTTACAGAGTTGACCAACACATTAGTGTCTTCCACATCAGCACCTGGGCAAGGGAAGCAGCCTGCCTTGCTAATGCTTTATCAAGATATAAAGCTATAAAGCTCACCAGCACCCATAACATATGTTCAACTTATTTATCATCTCTCAACACACATTTTTTCTTAAACTGACCATACATTTAATCAACTTACTACTCTGCTGTCCACAACCAAAACAGCAAGAACAAATGAACACTCTGCAACACAGCTTGGCGTACCAGAGTGTTATGCTACACATAACTGCACCGACCTGGGGCACCCTGTTAAATAAAAGAATTGCACCCTATAGATGGCAGTGCAAGCAAACGAAAGAAACCTTGCTGCCACATCAACTGCAGCCACCTAGAAACATTTCTGATTAGCAATAAATTAACAAAAAGGATTATTACAAGAGCGGAGGGGGAAAAAAAAATACTCCTACTGCTCCGATTGCCTCAGCCAGCAGCACTTTTCTGATGTATTTCAGTCAATTTAATTGTATCAGGGGGTGTTTCAATGGTTCCTGCTGCCTCATCTTCTACAAGGAGGATTCACTGGTTTTCATCAATCCAATGTCTGACTACTAATTATTAGAAAACATCGAGACGCTTTTCTGCATCAATCTAGAGAGATTTTAAGTACAATGTCCTTTAAGGATGAATTTGTTAGAATATATATTAATATTTCAGTGCTTTAGTTAAAAGATTATATATTTGAGCAGCTGAAGATAAAAATGCACATAATTTGATGGACTTACCTTTTAGTCAGGTGAATATCATATTTTAAGAGAAAAAAAAGTCTCTTTAGTGTTGCTTGTCCTCAATATACTCTGTGTATTTGAAAGACTCCCCTGTGGATAGACAAGTAAGAGTGAATATATCCGGTGTGAGAAGCCATGTGGGATAAGGTTGCATTTTTTGAGGGGTTATATCATTTGAATAAGGTTTTAAGCATCTCCAAACATATATTTTTTGGAGTCACACAGTAATCTTTAATACCATTTAAAGTGACTTAATGAAGATTATAGTATGAGAAAGTATCTGACACTTGGGGATATGGCGCTAGTAAGGTTTAGGAGGTATTTTATACATATTTCCTAAGCCCCCTAAGTAAGTTTTGGGCTTCAAGCATTGTTTTTGGACATGAAAGAGTTTGAAAATCCTATTAAGTTCTTTGTGGAAGTGGTCTAGAAGGAGTGCTGCTAGAGTATAATGTATTTTGCATTATCACTTATTACAGTTAAATCCTAACTTGTGAAGCCAAGGGAGTTCCTGAAAACACTTCTGCAAAATTATTCTTCTTGGCTTGCAATATTTTCAGTCGTGTGTATTACCTTATTGTGAAAATATAATGGAGTGCATGACATCTGTCTATCTCCTTTTGTTAAAATAACACAATCCTGTGTAGATACAACAACATATTTACTTTTCTCATGGTTGTTCTGCAATTGCTCTGAATCACACGTTTTTGTTTGTTTGTTTTTCTCCCCTTCCTGTCTTGTAACTTCTCCATTTTAAACTAAATTTGGCCTTTGAAAAAATTAAAGCTTTTTCCCCTCAATTTCTGAAAGAGACTTTTCTGTAAGAAATGACAGATTGAGAGCACATTTTCAACAGCTCTCCTAACTAACCCATGATTTCATTCCATAATACCTGTTTAACAAAGCCAACCTGAAGTCCATACCTATTTAGCAATGCAGAGAAGTTTTTTTCCTTTTTTTAAATGACTTCCAGGTTCCAGTCCTACTAGCAACACAAGTCTTAGAGGCAGATCTGTTCTTAAGTTGTCCCATAAGAAATGCTCAACCACATTTAATCCAAAACTCAGGCGTCATCTCTGACTCCCAAATTTAGAATTTTAAGGCATTTCAAGCACTTTGCATGAATAGTCTCAAAAACCAATGGAGATAGTCAAGGGATCGGCACTCCAACCTCCTGCGAGCTTCTCATGCAACACTAGGTCGGGCTTGGACAGCAGGGACCCTGCATGGAGCCAGCTGGAAAACAGAGGTGGCATCATCATTCCTGGGTGTCATTTCAGTGTTTAAAGGAATTGGATTACTTCAGTTTGGACAAAAGGAAAAAAGACATAAAATGTCACTGGAAAAAAATGAGTAGCGTTTAGAAAGATTAACTGTACCTGTCTGCAGAAGAACGATGCAAAGAAGCTCTGTTCATCCTTTCTGAAAAGTTGGCAACAAATAAGATGAAATCATATGACACATTTCAATTTCATACTTCTGTTTCTCCCTCCAGACAAGCAATTAAATTTTATCTGCACCAGCAATAACTTTTTTCAAATTCATAAGTTATGAATTTGTAAATGTTAAGCAGATTAGAACGAAAAAATATTTAATATCAAATTTAGAGAGTAAACACATCTAGAAAGTGAGATGTTTAAAAAAAATAACCTTACAAATTTATGTAGGATAAGTAATGCATAATTAAGATTCTGGCACCACAGTGCAGTGCTCTGAGTTTAGCTAACACATACTTGTCAAGTTTTGGTGTCTCAGGACAAAAGACATCTCCTAAGTATAAGCAATCATGCAGGTAGCCTGGAGAGGCTATGGAGACCATATACAGGCTATAGAACAGCACATTTCCATCACTACTGACTTGGAAGAGCTACTTTTAACTATCATTTGATTTTCTTTATTAATATGTTAACACCTGTCACTTGCAATGCTTGACCCGGCATGCAAGCATTTCCCAAAATTAGTACATCTCTAAAGATCTTGAAAAATGTTATATTTATGTACATGAAAAAAACTAGAGTCTTTCATATTCACTTAGATAAAACACTGTCCTTTGTCACAATCAAGGTGCATGGTTGAAAACCACGTCACAGGCTGTATTTCAAAAAATTCCTTTCAAATTATTAAAATCAGAGGATTTTAATAGATTATTTCTAAGCAGCAAGTCTGCTGTTTGAAGAAAACAAAGCATATAATAATAAAACCTAAGATAAAAGATTAATATTAGGAGCATAAATGGTATTTTTATATAGAAATGATGAAATTAAATGGACTATATTCTATGGACTGGTTCCTGTGATCACAGCAGAAGACTGGAGCTGAGAGGAAAACGAACACACTCATCTTCCTGTCTTGGTGTTGGTCATTTGACTCCGCATGTATGATATGTACAAGTATGTATTGATGTCCAGCATGACAACCAGGCATTGGAAAAAGCCTTACACAGCCTCCCTCCTCTTCTCAGTATGATCTACAGCTACTGTGCTGCTGAGAGGTGGATTTTAACTTCTCAACAGTTGATTTAAATATCTTTGGGTCAAACACAACTGGAAAATAGAGCAGCCTTTTTTTCCTTACCCTCACCAAGGTCCATGCTCGCCATCCACTTGCCTCCTTAACCTGACACGGGTATATGAGACACGAGCACTGTAAGACGACCCTCTCCTCAGCCCAGCTCTGAGGACACGGCCACCACCTGAGCTGCCCATGTCCTCAGCACATACCAAGGTTTCCAATAGTGTTCTTCACCATAACAGAGCAGCACCAGCCCCAACAGAGATGTGACATTGGCTCCGCTTCCCTGTGGGTCGGGTGTCAGAACATGCTGCTATGTGGGACATCATTCAACTTGGCTACACAGTGTACAGAAGGATCCATCCGTGCCTTTTTTTGGCAAAATACTCTGAAGCGTTACTTAGCCTGCAACCCTAGACATTTACATTGGTGAATCCAAAGCCCCATGACTCATATATTGTGATGAATTATTGCAGAAACAAATAATTAATGGAACATCTGCCTGCTAGGAGGATGGAGTATAACTGCCACATTACAGTCACCAGGCCAGGTTCTCCCATTATTTTTTGGCAACAAGCAGAGACCAGAAGGTAGCTAGGTCAACCCAGGCAGTAATTCCTTTGTTACGGTGTAGCCGTCACCTGGCAAACCTCACTAAACTAATAAACTGTCTGCCTACACCTGGCCTCCAACATCTCAATGCTCTGGAGAATCCTTCTAAATCAGTAAATTATTTAAGCACCCAAGTCTCTCGTGCTACTGGTGGTTTAGAAGGACTAAGGCACCAGTGAAAAATGGCACTGTACACTCTCAACTGCAAATTCTGATGGCAGGCATAAATGACTACTTTTATACATATGATACAGTATCTCTAGCAGAACTCTCTGCAAAAGTCAAGTGAATATGTTAGGCCTGAAAATAATTAGCTTCAAATTACTTTTTTTTTTTAATTGAGTATTTTGATTTCTTTTATTCTAGTTGAGTATGTCCTTGTTTTTATTCTACTTCATCTTTGCATTTGCTTTGAGATGAATGTCAAGTGTCATTTTTACTTTGGCAAGAAGTCTTTTGAATATCAAGATAAAAGAAAATGTTTGTTCCGAATAAATTGTTATTTTTTATTTTACAAATGAAGTGAGTGGAAAACTTCTACTAATGATATGCTTCTCGTTAGCAAATGGATCCCTTTACTGCGGAAATCAAATAATCCTTTTTTCAAGTTAGTCTTCACCCATTTTTATAATTAGCATCACTGTCTCCATTTTTTTTCCCCCTCCTCCTCTGAAGTATAACTTGAAATATATGACTTTGTGAAAGCTTTCCAATAGGTTCATTATAAGAAAACTGATGCAGAGCACTCTTAGTAGGGCAATTAAGTTTCTTCCAACCACAGTTCTGCAATCCCCGGCCAGACACAAGATCACAGCTGTCTTTTCCCCCAACTTCTCGATTTATCAGTAGTTAAAAAGTGATACTGCTGAATGAGAAACAACATCCTGCAATTGCTGCTTGGGTACAGGATGCACCATCAACCCTGCTGCCCTGAGGGAAAAATCATTTAAACCAGAGATTGATAGTGGTCAGCATTAGCCACTGATTTGCGTCCTGTGTTACTTGAGTTTTTAAGTAATTCAATGTCGATCTGGTATAAACATTGCTCAGTCCTTGGAAACAAGGTCTCCCTCGTGCCCTTGAGGTCTCTGTCTGAAGGTGACGGAGAGGTAGAAGCGTGTACGAGTTTGTAATTTGGCCAGTTCTGGTTAAACTGACAAGAAGGAGCATCTCTGAGAACCTGCATTGAGAGAGAAATATTTTGCAAATATTTACTAAAAAGCCTGTACCTATAAAAACTGAAATGCCTCTCAAAATCAGTAAGCTCCAATGAATGTGGAATCTCACAGTACCATTATATATATATATATATATATATAAATTTATTAACTGCCCCAAAATGGGCATTCGTATAAGAGACCTGCTTAAAACACTATAAAATTGTAAACAATTATTTAAATAACTAAGTACATCTCCATGTTTTTAACTACTTGAAATCCTTCAAGTATCACTGAGTTGATTCACTCCTTTCAAAATACTTTTTTTTTTTTTATGTTTATCTCAGTCCCTGTTTCTGCTACTATTTCATCCTGGATTTTGTATTACATGATTTTTCTGTCTGGTAAGGTAGAGACATTTCAGTAGCTTGGGAGCTCAAGCAATTTACTGACCTTAAAAATCGACCAAGATATATCTATCATTTTTCATAAATGCAGATATAGTAGAAATCAGACCTTTAAAAGATAGCTTTTCTATATCAACAGAAATCAGAGCTAACAGCGTGCTTCTCTATGTCATGTAAGAATCTATATGAAATTTCTTTTCTAAAGGATTATGATGGGAATTTTACTATATTTCTGAAATATGAAATAGCTCCTCAGAGTCTTGCAGCCTTTCTGTAACTTTTAACCAGTGACCCAGTACTCCTTCCTGTTTCATCAGAAAAAACAAAACAGTAAAAACAAACAAAACAAATCAAACAAAAGCCCATTTGACCCTCTTAATTCACCCTGGATTAAAAAGATTGAATTCAATAAATCCTTTTTTCTTTCCCCCACTTTTTCCAGGCACAAGCACTAAGAGATTATGTCACCAGACTTTCTATAATATACATGTTCTTTCTTGAAACTCAACACACCTACTTAAAAGAACGTATTAATTAGGAATATCCACTCCTATTTCAAACCTGAAGTATTGCCTATAAAAGCATTGCAAATGCAATTGAATTATGGATATGTGGAATTGAATGGGCACTGTCAAGTCCAAAAGGTTTAAGTTCAAAATTCAGTCATTGATTACAAAATAAAAGGAAACAGATCTTTCTTTAAAAACCAAGTGAATAGAACAAATACGGGGAGGAGGATCCAGGGATGCTCAGAAAGCAAGTACCTTTAAGTAAGTACCTTTACCGACTCCAACAACATCCACTGTTAAGACTGTTTCCAGCTACGGGAACATATCACTAGCAAAAACACTAGTTCTTGTGAGCTGCATCAAGAGAGAACAAAAAAGTTACCAGAATTTGTTTTTAATAATAAAATATTAGTGATATAAGCTAAATCCTGGCTTAAACAAACTGGTGATGCCTAGATTTATTTTTTTCTTCCACACTGTTCATGATTTACCAAATAAACTGCAAAGAAAAAATTAAGTCTCTAATAATTAATATATTACTTTGCTATCTCAAAAAAGATAATTTCAGCATTTCAGAGAAGTCTTTACCCTACCAGTAAGGGGCCTGTCAGAATCCATCCAGTTTGTGCAAGCTCCAAACAAGTCAGTAGAAAAGTTCAGAAAAGGGTACAAAGAGTAATTGGGTATTCTGCAGCATAAAGAAACTTTGTTTATACATCCAGTGATTTTTTACCATTTTTTTTTCTCCCCTCTGTGAACAGTATCTTCCTGAACACTTCATATGATAAAGAACATATTGTTTTTGTTTTCAAATTGCACGGTCTGGGCTTTTGACCTAAAAAGCATTTTTTAACAATTATTCTTTAGAATTGCTATTGTGTCCTCCTCAAGGAAGACTGCAGTGGTGGCACTGAGAGGCTCTCCTCATGTCATTAGCACAATGTTTTCTGAAACCACTCATTCTAGTGGATTCGCCTTCTGTATTTTCTGTGAAAGGCCTCATTCACTTGGAGGGAAGTTTCATGCTTCCTTCTTAAATAAAATATTAAACACATCAGCCAAACTTTATTAGTTGAAGCAGATCCCTCAGTATTTGTGTCAATTGTTGCCCACTTCTCAAGATAAGTTTTTGCCTCTACCATGAAGGAACAGTAGCAGAATATTTGAAAATGTCAAATCCTTTTTAGTTCAACCTTGCAAAACCCAAAGATGTCTCAGAATTCCCC